TTCCCTTGTTATTTGCATTTTTTCCGTGTTATATATAAATATATATTAGTTAATTAATTGATCTGATTAATTTGTTTGAAGTCAATTTAGAATCACAGACTTGTGTAAAACCAGACATAATTACAGTCTACATTTAGTTGGAGTCAGTATCTCTATGAAATATTAATAGTATTAAGTTGTTCAGTGAATTAACTATTTCGCTGTTATTGATTTAAAAGACTGAAAATTCATTCTAAGACTGTATAGGATTGTAATAAAGATGATAATAACGAGTTGATACTCAGTGATGATACCCCATATTGTAGGATGATGAGTAATTCCAATTTAAAAATAAAACAAATACATGCTTCGTTGTGTTTCTTACTTAATATTTACTACTCGGTTCAGTTAATCGGCACCTAGCTCGAATGACAGTTCTAAAAACAAAACTCAACAAAGCGTCAAAATTAACTCCGACGGCCAAGTTCTTCTTCGATCAAAACAAATTCGTCACATATTTGTTTTTTATTGGCTAGGATAATTTAAGTTGAAAAATATATAAGAGCTAAAAAATCCCGTCCGTGTATATTTTCAGCATTTATTTACATCCAACTATTTGTGTAATACTAACAAGCGTGCTAACGCTACTGGCAAGACAACGGCGGGCCGAGGCAAGTAAAGGAGAGGGGTCACTTATCGACTTAACTTTACCGGGTAATAGTTAATTATAGTACGTGTTCAGTTTTAAATAGAGTTCAATAAATCGTTTTAAATCTAGGTAATATTGATTTTATAGTTACGTAATATTAACTTATTCTACCCACGTTCTACGATATGGGGGTCACGTTGAACGTCGACACCCAGGTTACGGTATTAAAAACTTGAGCGTAAGTAACGCTGTACAGGGGTAGATGCTGTAAAATCATTAACTTCTATTATCTATGCATATGCTGAGTTACCAAAGTAAAAATACAAATGAAAAACTTGCGTTGATAACGTATTTGTTAACTATTTAGTACGCTCTGTGTTTTTGGGAATTAATTCATTTAAAAGGAAGCCTTCTATTTTGTTACAATTTGTAATTTATTTAATTTTGTTAAACAACAGAATAATAAAGATTTTGCTTTCTAGGCGTTATTATTATTTCTGAACTTACCTTTACGTTTTTGATGTTTCATGCAAGAAGTAAAAGAAGTTAAAAGCAGGGCACAGCAGATTCCGACTTAATTAATTTTCAACTCTTAATTGAATCCAATTACAACTTAAATTAATAACTTGATTTTCTCTTCACAGTCTGAAACATAATTTATATGTAACAAAAAAAGAAATCGGTACAATAAATAGCACGGTATTTTTAATCAAACATCTACTACATTTTTGCATCTAAACAAAAAAAAAATGATTTCAGCCTCGATGCGTTTGTTAATGAGACGTTGCCTCAAAACGTCGCTAGCACCGGTGTCGTTAACATACCTTCATAGTGTCTCATACCTAACTTACGACCGGACGTAGACACAGTTTGAAACCATGTCTGGACCCGAATAGAAATTTTCTCATTAACAAGCGCTCTCACTGTGTCATGTCTTCGTAGTGGAAGAATTTAAATAAAAAAATGAGGAATGCAGTACTGTTTTTTTAATTACTTCCTATTTATTGATCAAAACAATTTTACTGTTATGTAAAATATGTAATAACAATATTTATTAAAATTTTCATTACGTAACAAAAAGTAAAATCGCCAGCTAAATTCTTTCTGGTTTCGAGACATATAACTTCAAGAAAAGGAATATCAAAAATAAAATTCTTTAATTCAGCAATTTCGTTTTTAAAGATTTAACAAGTTTACTTTGTGTCTATTTCTAACATAACTAGTTATATCATCGTACATACAATATACCAAGGTAATGTTCGTTACCTTTTTCGTTACCGAGTAACTGCGGGTTACTTTGGCCTAAGATGTGCACTTTTTTTTTTCAAATAAAATTGTAGCTTCTCTTTGTGATGAATATGTCACGTTTATATCTTTCCATTGTGAACTTTAAAGTATAAGTTACAAAGTTATCATACGAAAATAGGAAAAAATAATATTTAAGGGTTCATAAATATTTTTTTAATTTTTTGCCAAAGTTGGCCTTAAAGAGGGTTACTTTAGCTCGTTTCTCTGTGAAAAAAACTCATTTTAAGCCATGTTGGGGTTAAGTAACCCTTATAACAGATCACCATTAGTATATTGTACACACACAATGGATGTTTTTACCCAAAAATAATTAAGTTAAAGAAAAAATTGTAAACTTACTGGAAACCACAGTTTTGAGAAACTTTGCGCATGAACTTACGAACTATTTCAGTTACAAAAAATCCCGCGTTACAATGACAGGTTGATACAGGAACGATGTCGGTAAAACAACACCACACTGCGCGCCTATATGGGTATCTGTGATTTTCAGCTGGAACTATTACGGTCACCCAAGAGATACTGATGGGGCGGCAAGTTCAATATTTTTTCTGATTTGGGACAAAGTTACCCGCCCGAGCTAAAGTAACCCTCACTTACGGTACCCATTTTATTTCAAAGACATGGAAAATGATTGTCCCGAGGGACCGAGATATAATTATAGGAACCTGCTATTGTTCTTTATCTTAATCCTAACTTGAATTGAAAGATTGAGAGAGACAGGCCAACGAACAAAGCTAGCGCCTGTATCTCAGTGACGAAATTTCTTGCGTTATTATGTAGCTGTATGTATAATTAGATGTCAGTACTGAACAGTATTTAAAAATACAATAGGCAACTTAGTCTCAGCTATACCTATTTTTTTTATTGTCAAGTGTCAGTTTAGTACTTATTATAGAAAAAAATGAACACGTCATTAAAATGACAATAGTAAATGAACTGCACAATCGCTATCTACATCAGATTTCATACATATGTCAGCCTTGGTAGTTTAAGCACCGCGATCACAACCCACCGACGAAAACGTTGTACGTTTTTAACGCGTCTAACTGTCAAAATCGATATTATTTTGACAATTAAGGGTAATAAAAACGTTATATAATTATATATAATCGTTTATAGGCAAAATAGCCTAAAGCGGTGATCAGGACTCGATTATAAATTTTAGACAACTACGTGTCTCGAATAGGGTCTAGGTTTTGAATCCGGTTTCCCAATAAGAAAAATATTTCTGTTTCCTGAACCGGTTGCCAAATAAGAGAGATTTTTATTCGCTACTCCTATTTTATTTTTTAAAACATTTAGAATTATGTAAAAGACACCCAACAAAATTATTTATTTTTTTATTTACATTCTAAGTTAGTCTTATGTTATGGGGATGGAGTCTTTAATACACAAGTGGTCAATTAATTTATAAAAAAAAAAAACACTTGAGTTTCGGTGGAAGAACTATAAATATATTTTCTAATATTTTTTTCAAAAACAGAAAAAAACATATTATTTCGCAACTGGTTTCGAAAGAATTTTAAGGGCCAAGGAAGATATGAAAAATGGTCCAAGTCTAAAACGCAGTGTAAACTTGACACTTGGCGCATTTGTTAATAATTCAGGTTGCGTACATGTGGTCCTTAAGTATAATTAAAGTTTAATTTAACCAAGTATTTATCTGTTTCGTATTCGTGTCCGTGCCCGAATTGGAACGCACTTATGAGTAAGGGCCAATTTACACTGGAATAGCATCGATAGGTAGCGGCGCGGCAAGCACTTTCAATGTGAAATAATTTTAAAATCCATCATTATACCTATAAGAACAGTATCGCTGAAAAAGTTCGAAGAATTCGCGCGGCCGTGCGGTGGCAAAAGCGTAATTCTTCTACCGCGTTAGGTATCATCTCCAGTCGCAGTCTTTGAAAACTTGAATCCCTAAATACACCTGCTCTTTGTTCAATAATATTTTTGATCCATCGTCTTCACAAGGCGAAAATCAGAAAATTAGAATACAGCATTAAAATTTATTCAGTAATTTGTATGTACCTGTCATTTCCTATATACCCATCACTTTTTACTGTGATTTAACCCTACAACGTAAACTTAACTGCAGCGGAAAAAAAATCTTCCGTAGTAGTCATATTAGTATTTATTTTGTCTGTAAAAACCTTGATTAAAAGTCTTACTAAGTTTTAAAAGTCGCAATGTAAATAGGTATTGCTCCCTTCGGACTCCTACTCCCTCCTTGGGGAGACAAGACAGGAGTCTGAAGGGGAATTGACTATAGTACATAGGTATGATTCAAAATATGCAGATATAACACCAAAACGGGCGCATGCATATAATTGTTGATAATGATGCATCGATTCTTTTAATTGTGGTAAAATTATCCAAAAAAATATAACTTTATGTAACTACCAAGTATGCTTTGACATCTTTTTATAAACAGTGTATAATGTGAAAGTGGTAAAGTGATTTCAATAATTACCCAATAAAATTCCTAATGCTTAGGATGCAAGGGTATTTGCAAATACTAACAATGTCTGCAATACTAGAAAGCGATCGGAATAAAAAGAATATAATGCGCCAGTTACCAGTTTTGTGCATATAACAATATAAAGACATATGCTTCTGTTATTCCTTTAAGAACGGGCGTGACAATATTTATGCTGATTTTTATTTGTTTTACATGCACATTTGATGCTTTGCCACCTCTTAAATTATACGGTGTTGCGTTAATTAAACCTCTACTAAAATCTTAACAACTGATCTTAAAATAATCGAATTCACCACATAGTTGCGGTTTTGTTCCAATTGTATTATATAATGCGGTGGTGGTACTTTTAGTTTATTGATTTAATTAACTTTTAGATAATACTCTACCAGGTAAGTTGGAAACTTGCCTAAATATTTATTCAAAGTAACGTCGTTTTTTTTAAGACAATGTACTAAGCCAGTAAAAGATTTCTTACATCTACTGTTGACACAGTTGAATCTTTTAGTACAATTCTTATAAAGAAAAGCGTTATTAATATTATTATATGACGCGAGCATTTATATATTATATTGGAATTTGCAGCCTTCTACAATGGCCTCAAACGCGCTTATACCAGAAGATATCACAAAAGAAATGAAGACAGAAGATCAAATTTTAGCACAACTCAGAGCGTCGCAGAACATAAGTACACCACAGGGAGTGTCATTCACAAATGAGCAACCAGCAGTGTCCCAGCCTCCTAGTAAATCAGAAGAAACATACACATCTACGACTAGTGCTACCCCCAATCTGGAAGAACTTCAAAAATTAATACAGAAAGATACTCTAGCAGCTAAACATGCAGATGAATCTATCAGTGACAATATCGAAGTACAGGTAACTTGCCAAAGAAGGAATAATAGATTACAAATTTTCAAGCACTAAATCTACAAAGTAGTACAGATAATGTATTGCTTTGATACGATTTATATTAATGTGCGTAATTCTTGTAGTAAGAAAAAAAAATAAGCTAAGGTTTGTCTTGATTGCATTAAATTCATCATTAATGTAATAACATAAATAAGATTATTCGATTTATCTGAACATGTCAAGTTGACGTTCTTTCGTATAACTACTACATGAAAAACATTTTCAGTAAGAAAAACGCTATTTCATCTGTATATTTCTAATACTATCAATAATACATTTCCCTTATTTGGTTAGACTTGATGACTTGACCAATTTTTTTTATATTTTCAACCTTCATAGGTATATTAAAAATATCTTTTTCTTCTGCAGCCTGTGTCGGAAAAAACAACAAAAAGTGAACGAACAGTTGAAACCAAAGCATCTCAAGTAAAACCTGTATCAGAACCCAAACAGACAAAGCAATCAAAAAATGACAATGATAAGGCCACTAAAAACAAAGAAAATAGTACGAAGAGTAAAAATAAGAAAAAGGAAGAGAAGAAAGATGAATTAGAAAGTAAGACTAAAGAAGATAATGTAAAATCGGAGGTAAGGCGATTCATATTACCCCTACTTACAATCCAACACACAATACTAGCTATTTGTTTTATGTCTTATTTTAGGACTTCATAATATATGTTCTTGTTCGAAGCTTTTGATGTTCCATCGAATTTTTATGAAATTGCTACGTGATTTTTTCATTACCACCCTTAGCTACATTATGTACGAATGGCAATAGGCATGGAGAATGTATGTGTCTCCTGCATGTCTCTTGTCTTTTGAGTTCTTCCATTTAGGATGTTGCACACTGGGAGCTAACAACAGCGAAGAGCAACCATTGTAATAATTAAATGAATTATTGAATAAATACTACTTTTCATATAAAAATGTCTTGTCGATTGTAACAATATATATATAATATATAGAAAATTCGTTAAACAAGAAAACATTTATATTTAAAAATATTTTCAATTACAATATTAGGTAGTTTTTCATAAAGACGATAAGAAAAAAATCACTAATTGCATAATAATTGCCATGTCCTTACAATATATAATATTACTATAAAAAAAACTACTATATTTAATATCAAAAGGAATATGTTATGATCTTCTGTTGTTATTCTGTAGTTAACGATTTGTTTCTTATCATCCCAAATTTATTTGTAGTTATTTTTTATTCCTCCTGACAGAAAACGTCGGAAGAGGCATCACCAACTAAGAGTAAAAAGGAAGATAAACTAAACAAAAAAGAGTTGGAGAAAGAAAAGAAAGTAAGTCAAATAACTGTACAGTAACAAATCTTAAATGGCTGTTAGCTTTTCATTTATAATAAATATTTGTAGATTATGAATAAATAAATATGGTTCAATATAAATAGCTTTAGTTTTGTATTTATATATTTTTAATGGGGGATTTTTTATATAGGAATGGCTTAAAGAAGGTTTCACAATTGTAAAGGGGTCTGAGAAGAACGCAAGCAAGGACAATAAGAAGAAAGTGGAAGAGAACAAGGTTGCTGAGGAAAGTGAACGAAGGAGGTTAGAAGCTTTGATGTTTTTTATGACTTCACGCGATCGCATCTGAACTGCATGCTAATGAAAAATATTCACTAATTTCCACAACAAGTGCAATATAACAGGTGCTGAAATTAGATACAATAATCTCCCTGCATCGACGACGCACGATTGTTAATGCAATTTTGATGATTACACACTGACTGAGGGCAAACTACTTTATTGAAACTACATCCTGGGAAACTTCTTGAGCAACGGCCATAGACACGGAAACCTTGCTTTACATACAAAAACGGTTAGTGTGAAAGTTTATTTGTCTGTGGTTTTACTCAAAAATTTTCCGTGACCTATACCACTATCTACAAGTAATAAAAAGTTGCATTGTAGTTCCGTTATAGTTGTATGTATCCGAGTAACAATGTTGCAGCAAGCGTGCATTTCAGAGGCAGTCTTTCTACACTTTATAGGAATACTTTTATAGTAATTTCCTTATCCTTATAGATTTAGATTTTTTATTCACAAATATTACTCGTAATTACAATTTCCAAACTAAAAGTTATCTTTTATTATTCGAGTTCCTCCGTGTTTCGGAAGGCACGTTAAGCCGTTGGTCCCGGCTGCATCTGCAGTCGTTAGCACCTACCAATCCGCACTAGCCCGCGTGGTGGGTCATGACCCAATCTCCCTATTTCATCCATAGGGAAGGCCTGTGCCCCAGCAATGGGGACATTAATAGGCTGATGATGATGAAATTGAGGGTATACTGGAAATAATGAAAATAATATACCTACTCAAGCTCTCATTATATAATACACTTCTGGACACATCTATTGGCCCACCTTGTATTTTCAGTTTCGTTTGGTCCTAGCTAAAATTTTATATTAAAAAATCGAAATAAAATATCGAGCAAAAAAGTTTTTATGCAGTTTTGAACCTGGCACATTCACAATTTCATTCAATAGTCTTTTTTTGAATTTCGAACACAGAATTTAAAGAAACAAAAGACAATTTGGAGCCTGTTTGTTGATATCAAACAATCGAATACTAAGAAAACTTGGTTTTATTGGTTTACTTGGATTTAATTCTTGAAAAAGTGATTGATATCTTTAGTTTTGCAACAAACTTTACTTATTCTTAACATTACGGTGAGGTTCTATTAATAATCTATGGATACTTCACCTGAAGTCGCCGCCCAAGCTGTGTCACTTATTCAAGCCGGACACAGCCAAAGAAACGTGAGTGCTTAACTGAAGTGGTACAATAATAACAATTTCAATGAATAGTAATTCCGCAATACAAACGCATGAAATTCTGAAATTCGCAATTTGCCAAATCCCAATAATCAATATCGTGCATATAGATTGACTGTGGTAAAGGAAGTAAACCAATTCTCAGATTTTAATGAAATTCGCCAATGTAAAATTTATAATTTGCACGAAGGTAAATTCAAATAGTCTGAGCAACGTACGCCTTTGCGTATTTCTCGTACCAGACTTCGACTATATAATTCAAGGCAAAACAATCATATACAAAACGAACCCAATTACGGCATTTACTTTTAAATTTAGACGATAAGAAAATAGTCGAACAACAGAATGATTTTATAATTACCTTTTCGAGCCAAATATAACAATTTATGATTATATTACTGGGATATCAATCCCTCCAGCATTTATTAATGCGTAATCCTCCAAAAGACTTCCGCAGGCTCCCTTCGAAAATATTATAGTAAAGTTATTCGGTTATTAATTCTATCTCTCGTAATATGAGCCAGTCCAACCAACTTCAATTCAAAAAATGTCCATGTCATCTCTCTCAATCTGTCCGCGCTTGCTATTGGCCGACGGTTTGACAGTCCCGATCGTTTTTAAAAACGGCAGACATAGGAATTGGCACTTATACAGCCATCGCTACAATTATACAAGATGCCCTACTGCGGTCCGATTCTGAATCAAGATTTGTGGAAAAATTTATCTCACCTTATTTCAAACTAAAAATATGATCAATAAAGACCCAAAGCAAAGCTAACCATGTGACCATTCAAAATAAGAGAGTGGAAACTAAAGAAATACCATGATAACATCAGAAATAAGACTGGTATGATATCAAACACATAAAACCAAGCAACTTTTGTCCGAACATTTTTATCTTATCATATATGATTTTTTTTATCACCTGGCCTAATTTAAAAATATGTTTTAATGAATACTAATGGCACTGTCTGTCAATTATGACTTTGACAAGTTAAAAATAAACAATGTTACACTCCATTGAGATACAAAAACAAATTCGCGACTTCCACGGAGTATCTGTGAGCGCTTGAACTGTTCGGAGAAGGTTAAAAGAAGGCGATATGGTACCACACAAGCCAGCTAATGGGCCCAAACTAACGCGAGCCCACCGAACAGCGCGCCTTCATTTCTCACGCAGTCATTTAAATTGGACACAGCAAGATTGGCAATGATGGAAGGAAGAAGGTCTACCGACGTAAGGGAGAGCGTTTCGCACAATGCTGCTTTGAAGAGAGGGTTGCTTATGGCGGTGGCTCATGGACTGTCTGGGGCGGTATATCCGCGAGCGGCAAAACTCAACTTGAGGTTGATACAGGACCACGGCTGCCAACATTAAATGCTGAAAGGTACATTCGTGAGTGCTTAGAATCTCACGTGATTTTCATTTTTATGCATGATAATGCAAGAGCCCATGCGGCCGTCATCGTCAGGGAATATCTTCGGGATGTGAACATCACAGTTATGGACTGGCCAGCCAGAAGCCCAGATATGAACCCCATTGAGCACATGTGGGACGAGCTAAAAAGACGTGTTAGAGCTCGTCAGCCAGTTGCCCAGACGATGCAGGAGTTGAAAACTGCCGTAGAAGAGGAATGGGAGATGATTCCTCGAAATTTAATAGAGCGGTTGATAAACTCTATGCCTAATCGTATGAGAGCTGTGGTAGATGCCCATGGAGGCAACACGCGTTATTAAATTAAACCTTTATTTGATTAAACATGTTTTTTATTCAAAAATCATTTGCCTTTAACAAGGCGCATATCCGACTTGTTAGGCGTAGCTCCATGTCGTATGGTATTCTGAATTCAAATTTAAAACAATACGATCGAAAAAGATGGTAAAATGTATCAGGTTTAAAACTGCATCAACAGTTTTTGTTCAATCCTGAAACCTAAACTCTAAGGTGGGCCAATAGATGTGTCCAGAAGTGTAATTTTAAGAAACAGAAGATCAGCACATGGAAAATACCTATTTGATATTGGTGTTTATTTTATCGGAGGTACCCAGAGTACCAATAATTAGGTAGTAGCCCGCATATCGAAACGTTTTATATGCATATATTTTCAGAGACATATAGAGGCGATCCCTTAGGATTTTAGATTGGAGAATCATAACAACTAAAAGTAAACACTACCTATGACCGTACTGTCTATACAGTTTAACATATAAAAAGGACTACACTCGAGAGCAATGAATCCGGGTCAAAAATATGTTTTAATATAATGTTTTTTCATGATTCGTTTCGATCTGCTCCAAAATAAAATAAATTAATATTGACGCCATAATTCACTGGCAGAAAAATTTTCAGTCAAGGCCAAAGTTGGCAACCTCGTTTTTTTGTGTTCGGGGAAATTCAAGCTTCGATTTAAAAAAAAAGAAATCGTAAGTTCGATGCGGGTAGTTAAATTGCGATCGAAATTGGAACCTCGAAATTGGGTAACTCGGGGCTGGCTGACGGCTGTTCTGGTCAAGGTCAGAAGTGGCAACCCTATTTTTTCGTGTTGGGGAAAGTTCAAGCTTCGATTTGGAAAAAAAAAATCGTAAGTTCGATCCGGGTAGTGCAATAGGAAAATGGGCCACACTTAAGGGTGGCTGCCGCAACCCCTGACAGGGTGGGGGGTGGCAACCCGATTTTTCCTTAAAGTGCTCAACATCCCCTATCGATTGGCACTAATTTTGATTGTAAGTTTTATCCGGGTAGCAGGCTCCCGAAAAATTGACCGGAAGTGGCCCTTTTTTCGACGCTTCGGTCAAGATACAGGGTTTATCATGTCCGGCAACCCTATCACGACCACATTCCCCATCGAATCGTACACGATTTGTCCATAAGTCCGATTCGGGTAGATATTTCGCAGTGGGCTCTCCGACTAAACAGTCCTGGCTGTATCGCGCTGACTCCGGCCGATTACCAGCATTGTGAGAGTTATGGTACACTCCTCAGGTGTAAGCGACATGATTACAGCTTCAATAATTAATATTGAACACTATCGACATGGTTTATATGAATGATAAATGACAGATTAAAAACGAAAGCAAAAATAAATGCAGTAATTTCGTAGTTCCATCTTCGAAAGTCTCCCTTTTTAATTTTTTGTTATGTTATTACTTTACATTAATTAAGAAGTTTTAATATCTTCGTTTAAGGAGTATTTAATTGTCAATTAATTAGAATTTATTTCATTAAGTTTGTATTCTTAATTTGCGAGATTTTTAGGATTCTTTAAGTGACCCGGATTAATTGCTCTCGATTGTAGAAATAAGTTATGAGTTGTAATATTTTTGAAAAACGTGCAATGTTTTTGTGTCGTCTAACAGAAAGGAGGAAGAAAAATTAGCTCTGGAAGAAGAAAAGAAGAGAAAGCAAGCCGAGACTACCAGAAATAAGGTAAATATGTTCTGTTATATTTCTTTTCAATTTTCGATAGCTAGTTGTTGAGATAGTTGCTGATCATCGATGTATAGGCAATTATCACATAATAATCAGTCGATGTAGTTTGGGCAAAAGTAGATCCAGTTGATGTTACATTTCGTTTTTGATGCGTAACATCTTTCCTCTCGCTTTCCTGCAATTTGTGGGAGTGATTTCGTGAAATGGGACGGAAGTGTATAACAGGAAGTCGCGAAAGCACGCGCTATTTGATTTGATTTTAGAACATAATGTTCAAATGGCTTATTCCTGTTATAGTAGGTTTTATTTCTTATTTTACTAATATAAGGTGAGGTTTCAAATTTTACACATCATACGCGTCTACTGTAAAGCTCGTTCGTTTTTTCTTTATTATTGATTACCTAATGAAAATTGATAGAGCCTTTGATGGTTATTGACTTTATTCCATTAAGAAAACCGTATGTTGCCATTTATAACTGTAGATTTTTAATATCGAGATCGCTTCAGTGGAATTGAATTTTGCCACGGGAAGCGACCCTTACTTATTAATTTTGCAATAAAAATTAACCTTTCATTTTGATGTAATTTAATTGATTAGTCAATCGGCAGAGGTATCATTTAAGAGGTATAATAAAACGGTCGGTATGACGGTCAGAGCGGCTTTAGTGAGATAGGCTCAGACAATGGTCTCGACTCTTTATCTTTCTTGATTTTTTATTATTAATTATATCCCACCACGAATCATTAATCTCGCAGAATAAAGGAGAGCTCCATCGTTCTACGCCGTTTACCTCCGCCTCAAGGATTTAGGCTGAACCTTTGATTGTATCATAATAAAGAGCACAACCCGGAACTGTCCCAGATCGATGCATGCGTGTATTGACTCCTGCCCCCCTAGCATGAGCACCGCGATATGATATAAAGCGCGTTTTTATCACGCTCAAGTGTCAAATTACTATGCAGTTTAACAGTTAGACGCGATAAATGCTGCGGGGACAGGGGGCTACCGGCCTAACGGGATTCCTATGTTTTCAAATTTGAAAGCCTTCGGCGGTCAGAAATAACAAAATATAATCGTAAGCGATAACGATAACCATAGCGATCCATTTAACCAGATCAATGCATGCGTGTATTGATTCCAGGGGGCTTATCGCCTAACGGGATTGCTAGGTTTTCAAATTTGAAGGCGGTCAGAAATAACAAAATAAAATCGTAAGCGATAAAGATCCCGTTAGGCGATTGCCTTCCAGGATATGTCTCGTGGTCGACAAGTATAATAATTATAATATCTCGTGATTAGGAATTGCAACAGCAACAACAGCAGCAGCGGCAGGCGATAGAGTCGGTCGCAAAGAAAGCGCCGTGGTCAGCGGTGGCCAACCAGGCGATGTTAGCGACCAACAAGGACGGGCTCACCCTGGCCGAGATACAGCGGCTCGAGCGCGAGAAGAAGTTGGAGCAGATGAAGGAGCAGCAGCAGATGATGCAGATCATCGCGCAGCAGCAAGCAGCCGCCCTTGCAAGGGAGCAGGTTAGTACCAGGAGTCGAATGTCTCGTAGCTAGAAAGACAACAATAAACAGGCAATAGAGGTTGCTAAGAAAGGGCCGAAGCCCGCGGTGGCCAACCAGGCGATGTTAGCGACCAACAAGGACAGGCTCACCCTGGCCGACATACAGCGCCTCGAGCGCGAGAAGAAACTGGAGCTGGTTGAAGGAGCAGCAACAAATGACGCAGATCGTCGCGCAGCAGCAACCAGCCGCCCTTGCAATGGAACAGGTGTCTTTTCATGTTCAAATTCACAGTCATTTGAAATTCGTGTTCTAATTTTAAATGACACCGAGGATTCTGAGGTCAGAAGTGAGTTTGTTCTAACGGAATAGCACTGCTGGTCCGCGGTGGTGAACCAAGCGATACAGATCATTCCGCAGCAGCAAGTGCGAGCCCCCTGGCAAGGGAGCAGGTTAATCGCAGTAGTAAATACGTATTAAACTGTTATGATTTGGTAAATGATAGATCACTAGTATTCTACACGAGTTCGAGACTCGCTGTCTGTTTGATAAAATATGAATTTCAGTGAAGTTTTTTATTACATTACAAATCGTAGTATGTAATATCTTGCTATTTTGATTATTATATAGAGAAGTTAGGCAAAGTTATTAAAGTAGCAGTATACAGGGTGACAGGAAAACTCTTCGTATTCCTAGAAAGGGGCTATAGTTGTTGTAACTTAATTTGTTGCTAATGACCTCTTAGCAACAAATTAAGTCCAGTGAACTAGGGGTCAAAACTGAATGTTTCCCAGTTGTAACAGTTCTTCGATTTATTTTTTATTTTTTCTGACGCTGTCAAAAACCATTATTTTCTTGTTTGAGGTTGTGAGGTCTTAGCGGAGTGAGTGGAGCGGAGCTACAATTCGCTCGCATAATAATAATAGAATGTTTCGGTCTGCAATCTGATCAGTGTGTAGGTTTTCCTTACTCATTTCATTAAATATAAATTGTAAATAGATTGTTCAACTCTAAAATTTAATTACAGGAAATGCAGTCTGGTTTGGGATGGGCGAAAAAGAAGGGGACCAATTTTAATGTTCCAGGGCAAAGTTTGGCAGAAATCCAGGTAAATGCATTTATATATGTAATTATTTTAGCGTTACAATTGCGCATTTACGTGCCGTGGAATCATATCCATGAGGGATGATGATGTAGGGCCCATTCCAGAAGTCCCTAAGCTTCGGGACTTTTTAATATGACAACACCATTAAATGCAGCTCTTCAGATTGTCTATGGTTGACTATGTAATTTATTTTGTGAAAAGAGTATTTCTCATGAAAAAGAATACTTTTTTTTAATTTTGATTTTTAACCTTAGCCGTCTTATTAATTCTTCTTCTTCCTCGTAACCTCATGACTGAGGGTCGCGACAGCATGAGGGCACCCGGTGTACCAGCTCCCTCCACGTATTGCGGTTTTCGGCCAACCGGATAGATGTCTGAATGTCAGTTTGGCAAACTTCTTTGACCACATCAGTCCATCGGGCGGGTGATCTTCCGCGGCTCCTTTTTCCTTTCACATGACCTACGACGATGAGCTTTTCAAGATTGTCTGGTTCTCGTCGGGTCACGTGTCCGAAGTACTGAAGAAGTCGCTGCATACATACAGTAGACAGGCGGGATGTTATGCCTAGTTCGGAGAGAATAGAAATGTTGGTGCGGTGCTCTGTCCAAGAAACCCATAGTATTTTCCGCCAGCACCACATTTCAAACGCGTCGATCTTGGTTCGAATGCGTGCCTTTAGCGTCCAGGCCTCTGAAGCGTACAGAAATATAGAAAAGTTAGGGTCCGCATGAGTTTGACTTTCGTCGTCTTGCTAATTCCTCTGTTCCTCCAAACCTTTTCTAACCTCTTTACAGCCGATTTTGCAATCTGAGCTCGCCTTACAACCTCCTTTTTGCAGTCGCCGTCACTGGTTATCATAGAACCAAGGTAAATAAATTCCTTTACGGTTTCCAGATCCTGCAGCTCCCAGGTTCTTTGTAGTGTGCCCGCTCTATCTACAAACATCAGCTTAGTTTTGGCACGATTTATTTTGAGAACGTAATCAGCACTTATTGTCTCTACTCTTTGCAAAAGCTCAGCAAATTCACTTTCGTTGGCTCCAATTATGGTAGTATCATCTGCAAAGCGTAGGTTATTAATAAGGTGTCCGCCAATTTTTATACCAGCATCCCACCCCTCCAGCACTCTTCGCATAATGTGTTCGCCGACGAGATTAAAAAGTTGTGGCGAAAGGATGCAACCTTGTCTTACTCCGCGGTTAGTCCGGAAACAAGTCGATTCAGAATCCTCTATACGTACTTTGGACCTTCCGTCAAGGTAAAGTTTCTGAATTTGATAGGTCAAATGTTCCGGAACACCCATCTCGCTCATTACGCTAAACATTTTGTTCCAGCTGATACAGTCAAAGGCTTTCGCGTAATCAATGAAACACAGAGCCATTGGAACATTGAACTCCCGGCACTTCTCTAACATGCGTCTCATGTTTAAAATTTGCTTCCGTGCTCCCCTGCCTTTAACAAACCCTGCCTGTTCCTTTGAGATTTGTCCGCCAATGTAGTTTTCTTTGATGATGTGCAGGAGCAACTTGCTTGCATGGAATGTAATCGAGATAGTGCGGTAGTTCTTACATTTGCGCGTCGACCCTTTCTTGTGCAGCGGGACCACCATCGACTTCGTTCAGTCCTCAGGCCATACTCCAGATTTCCAGACTTTTTGGCAGATGGAATGCATGAGTCCAGTTCCCTCTGTGCCCATTGACTTGAGCATCTGCGCGGACAAACCATCGCCACCGCATGCTTTTAGCTTAAGACGCGCGAGTGCAGCTTCTACTTCATGAAGAAGGATGTCACTTTCTTCCTCGTTGTATTGCACTAGTTGGTCGGCATCGTCATTGCTCTCTTTATACAGCTGTTGACAGTACTGTCGCCATCTCTCAAGCACAAGATTTTTATCAATCAGAGGGGAGCCCTTTTCGTCCTCAATCGTCCAGTTCTTCGGTTTGAAGTCCCTAGCCAGAAGTTTCACCCTTGCAAACATGTCCTTAGTGTGTGCACGATTCGCAGATTGTTCCATCTCCTGACATACGGCGTCGATTGAGGCGTTTTTATCTCGTCTGCATAGTCTTTGCACTGTGCTATGAAGTTCACGATATCGTGCCCTCGCAGCTTAGGAACTCAAACCGTTTCCTTTCACGCATCTGATTTCTTCTATAGCAGACCATGCTTCAGCGCTCATCCACTCAGCCTTTGGCTTCAAGGAGTTAGGGCTTGTTGCGATTACCTCTTTAGCCGTCTCCAAAATTACTGATTTCAGCTTTATCTATGAAGCGTTTGGTGATTCGGAGGGAAGTGTGTCTAGGTCTTTATAACGAGATTCAACTCGTTTTACGTACTCGCCTTGCATCTTCGTTTTATTAATAGACGTAGCCTAAAGCAAGAGTAACTCTAGTCAAAGGAGTAAATCCGTGTTATCAAATTTAATAATTTATAAACATGAAAAGTACATATTGATTTAAATACCATACCCAGCATACCATTGTAACAAAGTGAGTAATGGTACCATTTTGTGACTAAAAAGCCCGGACTTTTTTCAGAGTAAGGTCAGAATAAACTTATCCGTCTCTACTCCCGGCGTAAAAGTTAAACCTAAGAGGTACCTTGTTTAGCGAATGAATATTGATGGAGTAGTGTCATTTAAGTGTCACCTGATTGTCTAATTGAAAGCATTTGGCATAGTGATTACTTTCTTCATATTGGCCTCAGATCCAATAAAAAGCAAGTAGTTTGTTTTTCAGATTATGACTATTTTTCTTTTATTGCATTAATTTATAAAAAGTTATTTAATTTTATTAGAAATATAAATAGAGACTTTCATAATAATAATATAATAATTTCTGGTTCAAATGGTTACCAAGCTCACACGTTTGCTTAACATCTCAATTCCAGCGTGCTTTATCATCTCGGTCGCTTCCAGAATTTATGACAACAGGCATAACCCATCTGCTCCATAAATCTGGTAGTACTACGGACCCAAAAAATTATAGACCAATCACCTGTCTGCCAACAATTTATAAAATTCTTACATCTATTTTGAGATCTAAGATTTGTAAACATATTGATCAAAATTCTATCATGTTCACCTCTCAAAATGGATGTAGGAATGGGGCCCGTGGTACTAAAGAGCTACTCCTCATTGACATGGCTATTAATCAACAGGTCCGCCGTAACCGAAAGACTCTGTCGACTTCCTGGATAGATTACAAGAAAGCGTATGATTCCGTACCGCATTCATGGCTCATGAGGGTGCTGGAGCTGTATAAAATAAATGCAACTCTACGCGCTTTCTTGATGTCATGTATGCGACAGTGGAGAACGGTCTTATTCTATCCAGAATCTCTGGACGGACGGACTCTGGGTAACGGCGATCCTATAAAAATAGAGCGAGGCATCTTCCAGGGCGACGGTCTGAGTCCATTATGGTTTTGCCTGGCCTTGAACCCTCTGAGTACACTACTCGAGGGTTCAGGTTTAGGCTATCGTTTACGGAGAAATGGTCAAGTAATATCACACCTGCTTTACATGGATGACCTGAAACTTTTTGCCCACAGCAGTTCTCATTTGACAGCCTTACTGAAGGTAACTGAAGATTTCAGTAATGCTATCAGAATGGAATTTGGTGTGGACAAATGTGCAATCATGCATGTAAAGCGTGGTCAGGTAGTGGAATCCGCGGGTATACAACTTTCGGATTCAGCTCACCTTAGATCTCTTTCCGTAAACGAAACCTATAAATATTTAGGTATGTCACAGGCATTAGGCATCAACGATGCTGACATGAAACAGTCATTACGTGAGCGTTTCTTGGGGGGCCTGTCAAAAGTTCTTAAAAGTCTTTTGTCGGGCGGAAACAAGGTTCGTGCATATAATGGCTGGGTAATGCCGCTATTGATGTATTCCTTTGGCATACTTAAATGGACTCAAACTGAACTTGATGCCTTGGACAGAACAGTTCGTACATTGTTAACAGCACACCGTATGCATCACCCACGCTCCTCGACTATGAGATTGTATATCCCGCGGAAGTGTGGTGGTCGTGGCTTTCTAAATGCCAAGACATTGCATAACCGCGAGATAAACAATCTAAGGGAGTATTTTCTTAACGTCGATATGGGGATTCATAGAGATGTAGTTGCTGTTGACAATGGACTCACTCCTCTATTTTTAGCAAAAGAAAACTGGCGCAGGCCTGTAGTACTTAGTACTTTGGATCGCAGCATTGTATGGCAAAGCAAGGAGTTGCATGGCAGATTCTACCGGGCTCTCCATGGGCCTGACGTAGATTTATCAGCATCAGTATCCTGGCTACGTTTCGGTGACCTTTTTGGTGAAACCGAAGGTTTTATCTGTGCAATTATGGATGAGGTTGTGATGACGAAGAACTACCGGAGGTTTATACTGAAGGATGGCACATTGGATGTTTGCCGTGCGTGCCATCGCCCAGGTGAATCCCTTAGGCATATAATCTCCGGTTGTTCTCGTCTCGCAAATGGCGAATATTTACACAGACATAACCAAGTGGCCAGGATAATACACCAACAACTTGCTTTGAAATACAATCTTTTAGCATCCGAGGTTCCTTACTACAGGTATGCTCCAGAACAGGTTCTTGAAAATAGCCATGCCACATTATATTGGGATCGATCTATCATTACAGACAGGACTATTGTGGCTAATAAGCCCGATATTGTATTGATAGATCGACACGAACGCCGTGCAGTAGTTGTTGATGTCGCTGTCCCACATGACGACAACCTTGTAAAAGCTGAAAAAGATAAAGAAAACAAATATCTTGATTTAGCTCGCGAGATTGTTGACATGTGGGACATCGATTCAGCAATTGTTGTGCCGATAATCATATCTGCCCATGGTTTGATAGCCAAGAGCCTCGATAAACACCTTAAGAGGCTCGCGTTAGGTGGTTGGGTCAAGAGTCAGATGCAGAAGGCAGTTCTTCTGGACACGGCCGTATAGTGAGGAGGTTCCTGTCTATGGATCCTTAACCG